ATTCTTAAGTCCTCTAACTAAAGCAAATACAAGAAATTCTTAAGTCCTCTAATTAAAGCAAATAGGGAAGTAGGGTCGTATTCACAGGGAAACATCGTTCTTCTATTCCTAATAAATTTGATAAAATCTAAATTACCAAATAAACAATATGATTTTATATGAATTAAACTAAAGAAAATAATTAAATGAAGCAATTAAAACTAAGAGAATATCAATGAAATAAATCCTAGAGCATAGGTTCACCAATAAACAATACTCCAGGATGAAGGACAACAATCAATTATCAATGCATAAATTCACTAGATTATAAAGGGTTTTCGCTACGTATTACAATCACATAATTAACTTATATTAGCAATATTAAATCGCATCTCTCGAATCATGACTTAACCATTTATAAATTAAGCTGCCTATTAAAACTAGGCCTTAACATTAATTCTCATCTGTCGAATCTCAAATCAATATTGCTTAACTCATAAACTTAAACCAACGCTAATCTAATTGCATAGCATTTTATCAATCAATAGAAAATTAATTCAAAACACCAATAATCAACAATAATAAATCATCCCTTCATATTAAAAGTGAACTAAATTAAAAATAAAACAAAGACGTAAAACGTTAAACGTAACTCAAAACCAAGTATTAACTGTTAAACAATCAAGAACAAAGAAATACAACGTTTAAAGAATCTAACCCCTAAAACAATTAAACTAAAAGGCATAAAAAAAAAAGGAAAAATACCTTTTAATAATCCCAACTATTGTCGATTTACTTCTAATAATTCCAACTAAAGTTTATTTTTTGCCCTTAGTTTGCCTCTAATGGTCCCAGACTCCCAACCGGTCAACACCAAGTCAATGACTTATTGTAACAGGTAACCAATACACGTGTCAATACGTGATTGGTCTAAATTAAAAAAATATAAATAAATAAATAAATAAACTAAACCCTAACAGCCACCACCCCTTCCCCTTACCTTACGCCACCGACAAACGCTAGGGCCAACCTCGAGCCTGTCTGAAAACAGCCGACAGTCTCGCCTAACCCTCGAAAACGGCCGACCGACCCCTCCTAACCCCAAAAACCACCCTATCCGACGCACTCTCACCCCCAAACCACCTATCCTCCCTCGAAATCAACCTTTCCCCACCATTGAAAACGACCCTCCTCCTTTCCCCAACCTCTGGCGGTTTCAAGGGTGTGGGAAAGGAGGAGGAGCAGCGTTAATTTATTTTTTTTCGGGTTTTGGTTTTCCGGCGAAGGGGGGGGGGGAGGGAGGAGAGTGGTTAGAGGGTTCGGTGGGCCGTCGACTCTGTTTTGGGGGTTGGGAGGGTCGGCCGGCCATTTTTTTTGGGGGGGGGGGGTAAGGAAGGTGGCCGGTTGGCTGTGTGGGTTGGGGGGGTTTCACGGTTGGCTATGTGGGTTAGGTGGCTGATCGATTTCTGAATTTTTTTTCTACTTTTTTTTAATTTTTTTTTTAATATTTATGTCAATCATGTGCTGACATGTGGCGTTTAAAAAACAAAAACAAAAAAATTACCCTTCAGCAGGTAACCGATTTTTGGGACTATTAGAGGCAAACTCAGAGCATAATTAGGATTATTAAAAAATAAACCTTAATTGGAATTATTAAAAGTAAATCAACAATAATTGAAATTATTAAAGTGTATTTTTCCTAAAATAAAAAAACAAAACTAACTCCCTCCCCAAAAGCTGTGTAATCTTGTCAGAGAAAGAGAAAGAGAAAGAGAAAGAAAAAAAAAAAAAAAAAAAAGTTGTGTACTACTCCTCTTTTAATAGTCAAGTTCATGGGCTTTTAAACAAAACTCACTACTAATAGAACTCTAAAAGATATCAAAGCCGCGACAATAATGCAGTAGAAATAAGCGTGCCCGATCGGGCCCAATCAACATAGCAACGAGCGGGGCCTTATTGGCTTGGTTTGCTTTGGGCCCAAATCTTCTTTCATACTTGATTCGCGACACTAGTTTGGTTCATGATGATAATTTATATTGAAACTTTAAAACTCTTCACTTAAGCCCTTAATCACCGAACCAAATTCCTTTAATTTAGTCTTTGGCTAAAAATATTTGGTCATAAAATACGATCAAATCCCACATCTTTATAGTGGCTCAATAAGCTCGGGATCATAATTCTGCGAATTCCTATAAAACAATACCAAGTTTACAAAAACACTAGAAACGTATATTAGTACTAAAAATAGCCCCGTAAAACTCAAACAAGCACAAATATGACCATGGAACGGGAAATAAATAAATATAAATATATATATATATATATATATAGACTCATCAATGGCGAGTAAACCTAGTTGTTGGATAGGGTAGCCCAATAATAATAGGGTTAGGGCCAAGTTTATAGGGCTCTTAATGGACATGACCTGTAATAGACTAGGCTCTAGTTCGGTAGGGTCAATATATGGTCAAAATATTTGTTCAATTTAATACATAAGGAAAATAGATAATGTAAAAAAATTACATAGACATTTTTGTATTCATATAAATTTTATAATGGCTTTGACCAATATTTATTTTAATTAATAGTTTGTTGGCCCACCCATTATCAACCTACTAATGACTCACGACCCGCATTGGTCTGACCCGCTATTGGCCCTGTAAAATGTGACCTTCTTTGATTAGACCTGCAATCGACCCGCACTAACCTTGATCTGACCCGCCCAATAACTAGTTCTAATGGTGAGGTGAGGAAGGCGGTATTTTTAGATACCTAAATGGATGGTGGAGTGGGGATGATTTTTATTAGTAACCAATGGGACGGAGATGGAAATCAATTTCAAATCCATCATAGAGATGGAAATAGGGATAGAAAAATGAGGCGGGAATGAGAATAACAAGTTCAAAATCTTATTGACAACCCTACATTACAGCAACAATTTCGCTCCCTAGCTAAAAGATAAGTCGAGTAAAAATCAGGTTAGGTAAATCTAATTTTCAAAGTCTAAAAGATAATGTTCAGGTTAATTATTCAAGTTTGTATTTTTTTCCTTGAGTAAAAATCAGGTTAGGTAAATCTAATTTTCAATCTGATTTAAAGTTTGTATCTTTTTTAGTAAAAAAAAAATAAAAAAAATAAGTTTGTATCTTTTACGACAACTCGGGTTAAATTGGGTATCGAGTCAAATTTGATCTTCTGATCAAACTCGAATCTTGAGTCATATGGATTAAGTCTTTTAAGTCAGATCAAGTTCGCTAGGTCTAATCAAGCAAGGCGAACGAATTACTATTTTTAATTGGTGTATGGTGAAAAGGATGTCAATTCTCAAATGCAACAAAAGCAAAATGTAAGAATATTTGGTATGCGAGCAATAAGCCCAAGAAAAGCAGCCGAATGCTGGAATGAGATTCTCATACTATGCATTCACGATGCAATGGCCACCTTGCTAGAGTTGCTATTGTCTCATAGTCTCTTTGATTCGCCATGCCAATAGCTGGACATGGGTACGTGGTCATATGAAGCCTCGAGATTACGAGAATAAAATAAAGTACAAGAAAATTTTGACACATCCGTCGCTCGCTTGGCCCTCATAACATCCCCCATTTACGTCTCCTCTACCAAGAAAGTTGACATTCATAGTGTTTTGGTAGGCGGCAATAAAAAGAAGGTGATGATAATTAGTTATACATAATCATCGAGGAAAAGCTCATGACAATGCTTAAACTCCTCCAAAACACCAGAAGAGTACGTTTTTATCATAAAGTTTCATTACCACTTAAAATGACCTCTTAAGTGGTAATAGAAATTGAAAAAATGTAAACTAATAATCCCACCTTTAGTCGGTCTTCCACAAACAATCCCACCTTTTGAAATTCCAGAAATAATCCCACCTTTTGCCCCTATCTTCCATTAACAATCCCTGACCGGTTGGATTGATCTGGTAACCGATTTTCTTAATTTAAAAGACACGTGTAGGTTTTTAATAGGTTTAGTCCGATTTTTAATAATTAAAAAAAACAAATCTAATTAAAAAAAAATAAAGAAGAAAACCCCCAGCCCCGCCACTAGCCCAGCCTACCACTGCACTCCTCTCCCCATCCCCGCCCTTGCATTCTCCGGCAACCACCACCCTGAAAACACCACCAGTCGCACACCCCTTCCACAACCATCAATTTCGCACAATCCCGGAGTCAACGATGATGTATTCGAACACACGGAGTTTTGAGATTTTTCGTGGGGGTGGGATTTCGTTGGGGTGGTAGTTGGGTTTTGTGGGGCTGTAGGCGTGGGTTTTGTGGGGGTGGTGGGTTTTGTATAGGTGGGTTTCATGGGGTGGTTTTTATGGAGTTTTTCAGGCTAAGGGTTGAGTTTTTAGGGCCAAGAGGAGTTATTTGGGGCTGTGGGTGGTGTTTTCGGGGTTATCATTGGTGTTTTTGGGGCTATGGGCGGTGTTTTCGAGGGTGTTAGTGGTTTTGGGGGCTGTGGATGGTGTTTATTTTGGAGCTATCAGTGGTGTTTTCGGGGTTGTGGGTGTTTTTGGGGTTGTGGGTGGTGTTTTCGGGGTTGTGGGTGGTGTTTTCGGGGCTGTGGATGGTGTTTTCGGGGGCAGTCAGTGGTGTTTTCGAGGTTGTGGGTGGTGTAATTTGAGTGAGGCTCGGGTTTTGGGGGTGGTGATGGTATTTCGGCGTGGTTGGGGGTTTCGTAGTGGCCTAATGGATGGAGGTGGCGGTAAAGGGTGAGGGTTGGGGTGACCACGGTGATGGCTGGTGGTCGTAGAAGAGATTAAGTTTTAAAAATAAAGGGAATTTTTTTTTTTAACCTGTTTAACAGGTTGTAGGTCAAAGGGATTGTTAGTGGAAGATCTCTATCAAAGGTGGGATTATTTCTAGAATTTCAAAAGGTGGGATTGTTTGTGGAAGACCGACTAAAGGTGAGATTATTAGTTTACATTATTCCATAGAAATTTACGAAGCAAATCACATGAACATTGGGATGGAAATTGCAAGGGATAATCAAAGGGATGAAGAAGAGAAAAGATTTCCAGGAAATCCAATTTGTAACCTTTTAATTATATAGGCCTTCCTGCTTTAGCTCTGTGGTCTGTTGCTCGAACCTTACAAACCAGAACTAAATAGCTCAACTAAACATCTAGTAATTAAACAGTTTCAGGCTATAGAGTTTTCAAGTTTTCGACGATATTAATACTAATATATACAATGGCAAAGCAAAAGCACAGGCCACAAATTGGTATGGCTGTGCTGTATCTACGCTGAGAATTCCGAATGATAGGCTACAAAGTTCAACTGACGTTGTCAAGTCTGCGAAGAATGAGATGCTATAAACTTGGCATGGTTATGCTCGCCCTCATATGTGACTATCAGCATTGTAGGTTCCTCTAAGCACCTCTCTACATGTTTCCTTGCTGGGCAGCCTCTCACACTGCTGCACTTATAGTATCCCCTGCAATCATCAAAACCAATTTTCGTTCATGATCAAAGAGCAAACATTATTAGAAAGAATTAAACAGGTAAAATTTCCGTCTAGCACTAATCAAGGATGCCTTAAACCCGAATCTTGACAACAAGAAGCATATTGAAATCTTGAAAACAGATAAAAGATCAAACCCGCCCCAACTGGTTGAAATTAACATAAACATGCATCTAAATCAAGAACTTTGCCAAGAAAAGACCTATTAAACTCGGTTAATTGATTAACCGATCTAAACCCAAACCACTTGACAGTTGACACGAAATTTGTCCAAGGTACTTTGCTTAGAGCATGTTATACACAAAAGAAGAATTATTACCACCCTTCAACAAGTGACAAACTCAACACCAAATGACAATCACTTCTTATACTATACTAAATATAATTTAGGCAATTGGCTACTGTTTGGTAATAGTCCTGTTTTCAGTGACACAGGACAAGTTGCAAAATTCTGATTAACCAAAGATCGAATGAAACTAAAGTTTCTTTATTAAACTCGACAGAGTATAGTCGTCTATTTGATAAACATGGTAATTACTCCTTTTGTACTTGCATTATTACTTCTTCCGGCAATTCAATGAGCAATTAAGGACGAAAACATGAATTAAGATATATATTCCAAATTAGACAACTTCTTAGACTTTCTCATTATAAAAAGAAATATAATTCATGATAAAATTAACTATTAATTAAAACAAATTATAACAAACATGATATACATGGAAAGTACTAAATAATTGAACAAGTCTACCTTGGATGTGGTGACCCCTTAATTGGCTTCTGCCCATACTTTCTCCATGAGTATTCATCATGAGGAATATCAGCATTCTTGTTACTTATTGCAGGCACCTTAATGGACCTCTTAACCCTCAATTTCCTGCATAACAAAACACCATAAACATCAGATTACACGACTCGAAATCGATTAAACACCCACCATGCCACCTACATTGATTTGATCATAAAAACAAAGATGACAATTTGATAAACCTCTTCTTGGAGCAATGGCATTTGGAGCCACTCCCACATTTTGCACTCCCACCTTCACCACCCTTAACAAGACACCTCCTCCTAAGAAGCTGCGAATTCGGATCAGACGATTGAGGCAACCCGAACAATTGGAACGAGTTCCGGCCTAGACTAGGTACACTCCCATCCAAACTCAATGAAGATACAAAGGACCTATTAGATGACATGGTTTGTGTACAAGTATTCGACTGATCAAACTTCAAATTAATCCCACTTCCACCACTAATAGATGAATTGTTGTTGTTGTTTGCCATTTCATTTTTGTACATCATATGCTGTTGAATTTGCACTCTCTGCAACATCTGCTGCTGAAACTTCTGCTGCTGCTGCTGTAAAAACTGCAGATTTTGGGATAAATTTTGAGGGGTAGAATTTTGGCCAGGAGGTTTCACTGATAGAGTAAAATCAATTGAAGGCTTTTCAGCAAACAATTTCTGAGCAATTGGGGGTAAATTCTGAACTTTCTGGTCAAATTCTGAAACAGGGTTTTTGAAATTTCCTGAAGCAGGAAGTAAATTTATGGGTTTTACAGCAGATTCAGGAAGTAAATGTGGGGTTTCTAAGAAAATATTTTCTGGTAAAGATGAAGGTAAATTCTTGTATTTTCTGATTTTAGCATGACCAAAACCCTTTTGCCCAACAAGAGAAACTACTCTATTGAATTTGCTAACTGCATCACTAGTTTGTGCCATTAAAACTTTTCCTTCAATTTCTTGTTTTTCACTAAGAAGAGCTAAAACTTTATGCCCACTTTCTATTGCAACTTTGTTGGCTAATTCTATCTCCATTTTCAACCAAATTCAGCTTAAATTTCCCTAAAAAAAAACAATTTTTTTTTTTTTTTTTTTTTTTTGTAAAAAAAAAGGACTAAAATCGAAAACCCAGATGAAAAAACATCATGGTTTTAAAAGGGTGGTAAAAAAATGACAACCCATTCCAGAAAATAAAAAACCCAGATGAATTTCAGCTGAAATTTTTGAATTTTATGAGAAAAAAACCAGCTTTAATACCATAAAAACCAAAAAAAACACCCTTTAATTTAGAAAAAAATGGGTAAAAGAAGAGAGGAGAATCAACCCAATTTAGAAGTGAGATGTGAAACTGAAGCCTTTGTCTTCCAACTGTGACAAAGCACTAATTTTTTCTGTCTGAAATAGGGTTAAGTAAGTGCAATTGCGCAAAAGCAAACAAAGTGTCTCTTTTAATAAAAAATAAAATGAAAAATAATTTGGCAAATTAGATCAAAGAAGAGAGAGAAACAAAGACGTTGAGTTTAGAGAGAGAAAGAGAAAGAAAGAGAGAATTAGAGGGAAAAGGAAACTAACGTCTCTGTCATAGTCGAAGATCCCATTTGTGGGTCCATTTATTCTATAAGTATATGACCTCTCTTCCCTTGTTATGTTGTTATTCCAAAAAAAATTTCTCTCCAAAATGTCTTTGCAATTGTTGTTTTCACCTTGAAATATGGTAAGGTTTTATAGAAAATGTAAATAAGTTTATATGTCACATGATGTTCGTTTTATGTAAAGCCTCGTTTCCAAATTAGATATCACGAGAATTCCGTACAAAGGTTACACGAGTTTTTACCTTTATACCACTTTATGATAATTAAATTTTGGAGTATAATTTGATTTTCTTGCATTAATTACTTGTAATTATTGTGTAAATTATAAATTTATGTAATTTGTTGTAAAACAATTGAACTCACTAGGATGTATGTTCACTATGTGTTAGGGTTATTAAAACCATATGCTTCATCAAGTCATATTGAGGCTTTCACTTAACTTATCAATTTAATTCTAATACAGTAAGAACTTGACATCTTAAATAGTGTTATTCTCTTACCAGTTTAAGACAATTCATTATAGTTTTCTGTTGATAAGCACTTAACTCGTGTTTTCTTTGAAGTGAGGTTTTCGTGATCATAGAGAACTCTTCAGGACAGAGTAGTGACAGTTCACAACAAATCAATTTGAATTTAAAAACACTCGTATGCCAGTTGTAAGATAGAAGAATACAAATTATAGAAATGTTTCAAAATCAGTTATTAATTTACTTTTGAGTCTCTTTCAGACAATCTTAAGAAACCTTGTTTACAATACATGTTGTGTTAAGCATGATCTTTTAAATTGAAAATTATTTTTTCTTAATCCCCAATGCATGATTTTTCCAAATTCTCTAAATCTATTTGATAGGTCTATTGGATAGAAAATAAATTGCCCTGTTTGTTCGTAAAACAATAAATGGGGTCCATCAATGAAGAAGACTCATGAATCATGACACGATTAACTTAACGAAGAACACATGCCCCCACTTCTGGTCTTCATTCCCAAACAAATTAGCGAGTTTTAAGGAAAAGAAGACACATTGTTTTCTATGTTGATGAATTAATCTAACTATTAATGTGTTTTCTTCAATTAACATTCGGTGTTTCGTATTTGAAATTTACATAGCTTAGATTATGCAAGCTTCAAATTATATATTTAGGCATAGTATATATCTAAGGCCTATTTTTTTCACCTAATTAAGATAAATCCAGTAGAATAAATTTGTTTTGATAAAAATTAATAAAAAATACTCAAATTTAATCTTTTTAATAAGTTCAAATAAGTTCATATAAAACTACTAGATAGATTCATATAAGTTCATATAACCAAAGAATTAGATGAATAGGACTAAGTTCCGAGACTTTTGAGTTTTGACTACATGTATGCTCTAATATAAAAGAAAATAAAATATATTATCAAGTTAAATTTTATTAGATCAAATGTACTTCTATATATTTCAAACACCTAAGCTAATTTTCCTATTGTTTATCAAAATCAATTTAAAGATGTTTGTTAATATGAAAATAAGATATCTAGATGTGGTCCATGTTTCCATCTAATATGGTCTCATTTTAATCGAGGGGAAAAAAAATTTCGCTATATATATATATTGGATCTTATAGTTAGACCCTGTTTAGTTCACCTTAAAAAATTAATATTCAGTAAAAATAATTTTAGTTCATTAAAAATAAGTTCAATTCAATATAAATAAGTTCAGTTTAGTAAAAATAAGTTCAGTTCAGTAAAAATAAGTTCAGTTCAGTAAAAATAATTTCAGTTTAGTAAAATAAAATTTAGTTCTATAAAAATAATTTCAATTCAGTAAACATGATTTCAGTTCAATAAAAATAAGTTCAATTTAGTAAAAATAATTTCAGCTTGATGAATTTAAGTTTTGTAAAGTAAAAATAATTTCAGTTCAATAAAAATAAGTTCAGTTCAATAAAAATAATTTCAGTTCAGTAAAAATAATTTCAGTTCAGTAAAAATAAGTTCAGTTCAATAAAAATAATTTTAGTTCAAATAAAATTCAGTTCAGTAAAAATTAGTAACTCTAATGACGAAATATAAGGCCCTGTTCACTTCATCACCTCAAAAAAAATAATATTAAGTAAAAATAATTTCAGTTCAGTAAAAATAATTTTAGTTCGGTAAAAATAAGTTCAGTTAAGTAAAAATAATTTCAGTTCAGTAAAAATAAGTTTTGTTCAGTAAAATTCAGTATCTTTAAAGAAGAAAATAATAGAAAACCAGTAAGGCAGTAAAAATAATTTTAGTTCAGCAAAAATAATTTCAGTTCAGTAAAAATAATTTCAGTTCAGCAAATAAGGTGAAGTGAACGGGGCCTAATAGAGAATCAGTAAAAGTAATTTCAATTCAGCAAAATTAATATCAGTTCAATAAAAATAATTTCAGCTCAGTAAAAATAATTTAAGTTCGGCAAAAAAAAATTCAGTTCAGTAAAATTAATTTCGGTTGAGCAAAAATAAGGTGAAGTGAACAGGGCCTTAGTTAAATTTCGTTTCTGCAGTTAGTACATTTATCCATTCGAGCATGATTTATCTCTTTGTTTAAGTAATAGATAATAAAAATATGAACTTTCAAACATGGCAAATTTGAGGGATCTTGCAACATATTTTGAAAGGGTAATGTTGCTATATTTTGTACATTTTACCTATTTTTAATTAATAAAACTACTTCTATTCGTCCTACCTTTAGCCAATTTGCGGTTCAATCCCACCAATAGAAGAGAATGCCTTATAAAGATGGGATTATTAACAGCGAACTGGCCGAAAGTGGGATTATTAGAAATATTTTTTTCTTATAATTAAAGATGTTAATCGTAAATTTTCGGAATGGGCAAACATGAAACAAGATGTTTCAACTAAAAACCGGATTATATTACAACTCTTGGTTTTTACTCCATATTATTTAAATGCATACAAATCATTGTTAATTCATCAATAAATCTCTAATTAGACACTTAGCATGAGTGATATAACCCATTTAGATTTTAATTTACTAAAAACAGAAAATTAATTGTGTTTTTATTCAGCTAATAAGGAACACAATAAGTCTTGTGTAAGGTGCTGGATTACGTTAATATTATTGAAAGACGGTCAATTATACTATTATAAGGAAATTTTAACAATTTTTATGGTAATTTTAACAATTTTGTAATGAGTTTGATTATATTTTAATGTGTAATTATTTCTAATGGAGACATGCATGCTATGAACAGTAATATAATTAATCTAATATTAATTTTTTGAATACGATTAATCTAATACATTATAAGTGTATTTTATGGGTAAATTTAATGTTAGAAAAATGGTAACTTTTGTACTATATATAAGGGTAACTTTAAATACTTGTAGGGTAACTTTAACCCGTTTTACAATAGTTAATGAAAGTCCGCCTTAATCAAGAATATATGATCCCTTCCCTTTCAAAGTGTGCAATTCATATTTCATTGTCAAATCTTAAGTGGTTTTCTAATTTTATATTTATGAATTGCACAATTATTTCACTTCATAAAGATACGTAATCCTCCCAAAAATAAAACAAACAAAAAGAGATTTGTAATCCTTATCAGCTATGATTTTCTATAGTAAACAATCTCCAACAATTTTCTTATCATAATCAATTATTCAATAGCTTAATTATATATTAATCATGTTGTTGTACAACTTAAAATAATGTTATTGATCCTGCGAAACCTAGTTCCATTCGCACATTCTTGTACCACAATATCATGAATAAGGTGGCCACTTTTGAACCGAATTGGATTCCATTGGCTTCAAGTATTTAAAAAGAATTTTGAAGCCAACAACAACTACAATAAGGATATATGTTTTGCCAACACATATTTCAACGTTCCTAGGAATTGAAACTTCTATTATACACTATATTCCCACAATTTTCTTACTTTTTATTAAAAACATATCTTGATCGGTAATTATATCTAAAACCGTAAGTTAAATCGTTGTTTGCTGTACAATTTAAATTACTTGACTTAGACTTGAGCTCCATCGGAATAATGTTACTTGATCGGTTGATTATAACTTAATTTGATGTTGTATCATGCACAAGTTACACTAATATTCATCTCCTCCTTTAATTTGGATCTTTCTCAAATTAAGCAAACTACCAAGATATGAAATTGGATACAAAATGCCCTCAAAATTATAATGCAATTGATTTGATCACAATAAGATTAGATAAAACCTAACTTAAGAATGTAAACCTATTATTAACTAAGAAAATAACTAATTACTTCAGTGTAATTTGTTAAAAAACAATGTACTTGGATCTAACTTGATCAACTTTAAACATGGCAATGGGTCGTGCAGAGCACACATGCTTTGGATTAGCTGGGGCTCAGTGCATGGCTTGACCCATGAGCTACACGTTGTGCCAAAATTTCAAAATACTGGCCCAAGTCCGCATGTCACCGTGTTGGGTCGTGTTGGACTTGCAGTCTAAGTCAAATTTCGCTGAATTTATCGTGCTTTGTAGTATCGTGTCTTATTTTTCTTTTTACAATTTAGCCTAGTCTACGGTCCAATACGCAATAACATGTCCTAATATGCCTACTCTATACCCGTATTATATCATGCTTTTTCCGTGATGGATCATATTTTTTTGCTTTTCTTGTGATGGGTCATATGGTGCCTAAAACCAGTCTGCTCTAATGACATCTTTATTCATAATTCCACCTAGATGGAGTAGTATTAGTTTATACGGAATTGTTTAAGGAGAGTACTTAGGTAGAATCAAATATTTTGACAGACAGCATATGGACGATTCACCACTCACTATAATCCATGACAGACATACCCAAGTGGATGATGACCCCATAAATCCCAGCCAATTACTTTAATCTAATTTGTCAAAGTGGTCACTAGATATTACACTACTCCATCTATCATCTTCCAATCATATGCTACATTTTTGACGGTCTATACAACTTATATTAATATATTAATTACCCCACTATTTTAGTTAAATAAACTAAAAGGTTCTTGCCAACTTGATAATCATATTCTATAATTACATTTATTTTATTAGATTATGTACTAAGTATACTATAGTTAGGCTAACTCGAAACAAGGTCCTTTTCTTAGATCAAATATTTGACTTTTCACTCTAATGAAGTGACTTTATATTCTTTTGAGTAATTATAACTAGAAAAATAATGCTAGCAAACTCATGTCACATGCCACTCTTGTGATCATTTCAATGTCGTTTTTTTGGACGTTTCTGACCTTTTTATGTCATTTTATTTTTTTTTAATTTTATGAAAGATTAAGAAAGATATTTGTAAACAAAGTGGTAATATTAGTGGTGTAATCACATTAGTTTATGTAGAGTAATGGTTGCCTAACACAAAGATAAAGCTAAATATCTTGCCTAATCACATTAGTGAAAAAGAGCTTATGTTTCATTATGGTTGAAATTGTTGATTTGACTTGAATTTATTTTACCAGATCAACCCTTGGTTCAAGAACATTGGAATTCTTCAGAATCTAATTAATTAGCAAATTCAATATTGATTTTACTTGACTAATAACCTTAGTCATAACAGATGGGCCACAATAGACAGGTACAACCAGGCCTAGTTTGTGATTAGTTGTTTGGGTTTCTATGTCACTAAACCCAAGTTTTTTAAAAGTAAGTTTGGACTTGTAGAAAATTTTTAGTGTGTTCCATTTATTTTGGATCCAAACTCTTTTTATCCAATCTAAATTTTGATATTTCAAAATATTGCAATCCAATCTAGTCCCAATTAAAAAAAAAAACGCCCGTTGAGAGTTTACTCATTCCTTATTGCTCCAACAATTTTTCAATAATATAGATTCAAAATGCACTTGGTCGAATAATTTTTTTATTGGTGTTGTTTGGGGTCCAAATAACTTTTATTTGGGCCCGGTCCACAATGAAAATAATTAAAGCCCAAAAGGCAAGGTTCAACCCTCATTACAAATTAGCCAAGTCAGGTATAGCAAGGCCCAATCAAATGGCAGCCCATTTGATTCCTCAAGCCCAATCCATCTAATTGGAGCAAGGTATAAAAGCTTTCATTTTTGCACAATCACATTCATTCACATTAAATGCCTCAAGCAACAAACTCTCTTGCATAGTTTTTCTCTCATTATCTTACATCCGTACTGACTTCGGCATCGGAGGGGCCTTCCTCGGCACAACCCCCGAGGCCAATTTACGTGTGTTTAGCTATGCAGGAAATCCTCAATTCGGTCATCACTCGAATTGGGCTTCATCTCCACTCATCCGAAGGGCCTGCTGAAGATCCATTGTTTTCTAACCGAAACAATTTGGCGCCGTCTGTGGGGATACTTACAAAAATTCAGCCAAAATCTCATACTAATCTTAGCCAACGCAAAAAAATGACTAAGAGTGCAAAGAGCTCTAAAAAAGCTAGGAAGATGGGCCTAATAACGGTAAGGGCCGGTAGAACACCTTCACCGTCGCCTGAACCGACCGCTTCCAACTCCCCGAGGGGAGAAAATATGTGTGAGGGATCTCCTTCCCAACGGGATTACCAAAATGGGAATTCGCCGAGGGATAGCGAGGCTCGTAAGCGTGATCCTTCACCTAGCATGCGTTCAACTCCTCCTACCGGTCCGTCAACCGAGGAGGACATGAAGGCCATGGCTGTGTGCATGGACTTTATGAATGCTTTGGGAGGACGCTTCCCATCAATGTAAAAATCACCCTCTCCCCCTCCCAGATCACAGGATCGGAAGAGGAAAAGTGGAACCGAGGGAGAAAGGCAAGCTCCGTCCTCGAAAGGGGAAGGCAGCCGAAGGGCTGGGCATCCAGGTGGTTCCGGGCAGGATTAGAGGAGAGGCTCCGGCCACTTCGAAAACTCCAAAGCTCGGAACTCCGAGGATCATCATGATAGCCACAATGTTTCTCGCCGAAACGTTCATGAGCGCTTAGGTGGCAAAGAAGGAGGGGTGCATAGTCGCCTCACCTATCCAGAAGGGCCTCAGCCCTCTATGTCACGCGAGGGGACACCCCCTGCATCCACCTCTCTAAGAGGGAGAAGCAGGGTTCCTTCGGCGCGACAGAAGGGGAAGGCCATAATGGTTTCAACCAGTTCCCCATTCCAAAGGTGGATACTGGAGGAACACGTGCCGACGGTTAAAATTCCGGCACACATTACATATGATGGTACTTCGGATCCGAAGGATCACATAGCCTCCTACGAGGGGTATATGTACCTTAACCCCAGGTCCGAAGCTACCTGGTGCAAATACTTCCCTACAACCCTTAAAGGTGTTGCCCAATCATGGATCACCAAAGGGCTGAAGGAAGGCTCGATAACGGGCTGGAGCGATCTGGCCAATAAGTTCAAGAGCAAGTTTTCCACGGCTAACCGCCGAGAGAAAACTACTGCAGAGCTCATGGGTATGCAGCAAGCGGAGGACGAAAGTCTCCGAGACTATTTGACTCGCTTCAGCAACGAGTCGTCCAAAATCAGAAGTCTGGATCAAAGCCTGGCCGTATTCGCACTACGGAATGGCTTGTAAGCTGGCAAATTTCTGGATTTCATGGTCATGCATCCCCCGCAGACCTTGGAAGAAGCCCTCGACGCTTCGGATAAATTCATCCGAGCCGAGGAATGGAACAAGGCAAAGCTGCAATCTCAGTCAGGGCTTGCGAAGCCAAGAGAAGTTCCAGGGTCAAGGAAAGGGAAGGCAAAAGCCTCAGAACCTCCCTTGATCGTAGAGCGGAAGAAGGATAAGACTCCCTATTTGGGAAAATTTGAATCTGACACTCCTCTCACCTTACCACGTACTAAGATCTTTAGTGCGACGAGGGAAGAGGGAAGATGCAGAAAGCCGAAGCCACCTCCCTCTTGGCATCAAAAGAAAGGGAAGGACCATTGGTGCGAGTTCCATGAATCTTGTGGACACCGCACCGAGGACTGCCTTCAGCTGAAGGACCAGATCGAAGAGCTGGTCCAAAAAGGATATTTAAAGAAAGATGTCGCGGAACGCCGCGAAGAAAAGAAAGCTAAGAAAGATTCTCGGCAAGAGCTGGACTATCACCAGAAAAGGGATAGACCTCCCGAAGGAGGGAATCATGATATCCTGACCATTTCCGGTGGCATATCTCGGAACGCTCTGAAGCGCCATCTGAGGGGTCTCACCCATCAGATTCATCATGCCGAGTTCAAGAAACCGCAGTCTCCGGTGCCGAACATGATGTTCACATCCGAAGACTGCAGGGGGGTGGTGTATCCCCATGATGACCCCCTGGTTATCATGACAAGCATTGCAAACCACAACGTCTATCGGACACTGGTAGACGGTGGCAGTGGGGCGAATATACTTTTCCGAAAGGCATTCGACCACCTGAAGTTGGAGAGCAAGCATTTGACTCCAGTTCCTTATCCGGTCACTAGATTTAACGGCTCTTCTTCATATCCAGATGGGAAAATTCTTCTTCCCGTCAGCCTCGGCCAAGATCGGGCAAGACGAAGCATCATGGCCGAATTCTTGGTCATCGATGCCCCATCAGTGTACAATGTCATTATGGGGAGACCCCTCATCCATGATGTTCAAGGAGTCGTCTCGACATATCATCAAGCCATGATCTATGTTTTAGACGAGGGACGTTCCGAAAAAATATTGGGCAGCCAAAGAGAGGCCCGAGAATGTAACTTCCTCAAGCCATCCAAGAGTCGTTGAAGCGACAAGGATGATGAGGAAGAAAAAGAGAAAGAAAAGGAGCGAGGTACTAAAAGGCCGAAGGTCCTAAGTGCTTCGGCTCAAGGGTCCCCAAAAAAGAAAGCATCTTTGGGGACTGGAAAGGCAAGCTCTTCGGCTGGACCGAAAGATTCGGACGAAGACCAACCGAAGAAAGGAAAGTCTGCTGATATTGACAATAGACCCGAACCAGAAGAGTCTGGCTCCAAAGCAATGGAGTCAGATGAGCAAGCTGAGTCAATACAGTTGACCTAGGAGATACTGAAAAATGTGTCAGCATCGGACAAGGGCTCGATCCGAGCCTCCGGGTTGAATTAATCCAACTCCTTCTGGACAACAGAGATGTGTTCGCATTCTCAGCAGCTGACATGCCGGGAATCGATCCGAACCTCATCTCGCACAAGCTTAATGTCGACCCCACATATCGGCCAGTTAAGCAAAAGAAGCGGAACTACTCCGCTCAGAAGAACCAAGGCATCGCAGCCAAAGTCAAAAAACTTCTGGACGCGGGGTTCATTGAGCCCCGCCAATACCCTGAATAGCTTGCGAATGTAGTAATGGTTCAGAAAGCTAATGGCACCTGGAGAATTTGCGTTGACTTCACGGATCTGAATAGGGCCTGTCCGAAGGACTTCTATCCCTTGCCGAGAATCGACCAGCTGGTTAACTCGACAAGTGGTCATGCTCTGCTCAGCTTCATGGACGCATTTTCGGGGTACCATCAGATTTTCATGCACCCCGATGACAGAGCAAAAACGGCATTTGTTACAAGCGCTGGGGTGTATAACTATAAAATGATGCCCTTTGGCCTGAAAAACGCCGGGGCTACATATCAGAGGCTGGTGGACCAAGTGTTTGCCGAGCAAAAAGGCCGCAACATGGAAGTCTATGTTGACGATTCCATCGTCAAAAGCAAAGAGGCGAAAGACCATGTTGCAGACCTAGCCGAAACGTTCGCCACTCTGAGAAAGCACCAAATGAAGCTGAATCCGAAGAAATGTGTCTTCGGCGTGAGGTCTGGAAAATTCCTAGGCTTCATGGTCAGCAAGAGGGGGATTGATCCAACCCCGCCAAAGTTCAAGCGGCTCTGGATCTTCTCGAGCCGAAGACAAAAAGGGATATTCAGCGTCTTACTGGGAGGATGGCTGCCTTATCCAAGTTCATCTCAAAAGCCTCGGACAAGGGCTTGCGCTTCTTCAAGGCGCTGAAATTTCCGAAATCAAAGGAGCTCATATGGAAAGATGAGCAAAAGGTAGCCTTCCAGCATCTCCGGGAACACTTGGCAAACCTTTCGACACTGGCAACGCCAGCTGAAGGAGAAGTCTTGTACCTGTATGTGGCAGTTAGCCCTGCTACAGTGAGTGCGGTGCTGCTGAAGGAAGAAGAAAAGGTTCAGCAACCGATCTACTTCGTCAGTCATACTTTGACTGATGCCGAAACGCGCTACCCTCTGCTCGAAAAAGTTGCATATGCAGTGGTAGTGGCAGCTCGGAAGTTAAGACCTTATTTTGACTCACATCAAATAGTTGTATTAACAGATCAACCGTTGGAAAAAGTCCTCGACAAAGTTGAGAAATCAGGCAGGCTAACAAAGTGGGCCTTCGAGCTCACTGAGTTCAGCATAAGCTACCAGCCGAGGGCAGCAATCAAGGCCCAAGCCCTAGCAGACTTCCTAGCTGAATGTTCCTACCAGGAAACACTCGACAAAGGGAAGGGGACTTGGATCGTGTTTACGGATGGCTCAGCCACCGTAAATGGTTCGGGAGCTGGGGTGGTAATCACCTCTCCCGAAGGCAGAAACTTCGAGTATGCACTCAAATTTTCATTTAAGGCTTCTAACAACGAAGCAGAATATGAAGCAGCAGTTGCTGGCTTAGAACTGTGCATAGCTCTCGAAGCCGAACATGTCTGTTTAAAAACAGACTCTCAGCTGGTCGCTAATCAGATTCAGGGCGAGTATGAGGCCAAGGAGCCCTCCATGATCTCTTATCTTGCCAAGATTAAATCAGTCATAGCGAAGCTGAGAACTTTTGAAATCGAGCTGATCCCAAGGGGTCAGAATGCTCAAGCCGATGCGCTCTCCAAACTTGCAAGTTCTACTCTTACTGAGCTGAACTGATCCGTATATGTGGAGGTGCGCCGAAACAGAAGCATTGACCAAGAAATTGAGGTCCAATGCGCTATAGCTGAATCCAGCTGGATGAACCCTATCTTAGCCTATAAGCTTCAAGGAACACTCCCCGAGGATAGGAACCTAGCCGCAAAAATGAAAAGGGTTGGCTCAAGGTTCATTATCTACAAGGGAGAGCTGCTGAAAAAATCCTTCTCAGCCCCATTGCTGAAATGCGTGGGTCCAACAGATGCGGATTATATCCTTCGGGAGATCCATTTTGGCATCTGTGGAAACCACATAGGGGGGAGGACCCTAGCCCATAAAGCATTACGGGCAGGATATTATTGCCAACCATGATCCAAGATGCCAAGGACTTGGTGCGGAAATGCGAAAAATGCCAAAAATACGCACCTGTTATTCATCGACCTTCAAGGGACCTTCAGCCGATCCTGAATCCACTCCCTTTTGCTCAATGGGGGTTGGATATTCTAGGACCATTTCCCGAGGCACCTTATCAGAAAAAATGGTTGATAGTCGGAATTGACTACTTCAGCAAATGGATAAAAGCCGAGGCAGCTTCAAACATAACTGAGCAAACTGTCAGAAAATTTATTTGGCAGAATATCATCGCTCGCTTCGGCATTCCAAAAGTGTTTGTCTTCGATCATGGAAGACAATTTGACAATCTGCCGCTGAGGCGGTACACAGATCGGTTCGACATAAAACTGGCATATTCGGCAGTCTGCCATCCTCAAAGTAATGGCCAGGCCAAAGCTGCAAATAAACAGATACTTAACGCTCTCAAAAAGAGAATTGAAGATCAAAAGACCAAGTGGATAGAAGAGCTTCCCGGAACTCTATGGCCACTTCGGACAACTGAAAAAGAGGCCACGGGGCATTCACCTTTTGAATTGGTGTATGGATCCGAAGCCGTTTTGCCAGTGGAAATTGGCTCAGAAAGTCTCAGAGTCAAGCAGTTCTCAGCCGAAGAAAACGAGCATCTCATGAGAGAGTCCCTCGATTTCTTAGACGAGACCCAAGATTCGGCAAGGGACAGAATGGAAGCATACAAACAGAGAATCAGCAAGTGCTACAACCGAAGAGTCCAGTCAAGACTCCTCAAGGTTGGGGACCTTGTTCTTCGGAATGCTGCCGCTGTTCAGAAAAGCCGCATCCATGGAAAACTCTCAGCTAACTGGGAAGGGCCTTATGAAATATATGATGAGCTCCAACCAGGAACTTACTGTCTTCGACAGTTAGATGGAACTGAGTTAAAAAACCACTAGAACGCAGATGTACTTAGAAAATTTCATGTGTAAAAATCTGTGTAAGTACATTCTCTTCAGATCAATAAAAGGCCGTTGAGCCGCAATTATTCATAATTTTATTCTGCTTTCATTATTTCTGTCTTTACCGATTTTCGGAAAAACTCAAGGTTTACATCCGGTGCTGTCCGAAGTCTTGCATTGTGATGCACTGTACTTCGGCAAGCCGAAGAACCTGCCGATATGGGAGTAACAAATGGAACCTCGAGGTATTTCATAATGATGCACTGTACCTTGGACGGATTTGCTACTCTCGGCGAAGAGGTCACAGGCTCATCTAAGACATAGCCGAAAATAGGAATTGATAAAATGCCCGAAGCATTGCATAGTGATGCCCTGTGCTTCGGCAAGTCAATTCCGGGTGGCGATTGCACCTCTGAAGTATTGCATAATGATGCCTTGTACTTCAGATGATCGCTGCCCTGGCATTGTGTCCAAGGTAGTCATTCCCTCGGATGAATTAAAATACGGCAAAATATAAGAAATAAGCATAGGTACGCGAACTATAACAAATCTTCGGCCACACCAGAAAGATCAAGGGCAATATCACTCAGAACTCTGAAGACATCATCTTCAAAGTTCTGGGGGGAGCAGAAGGTACTCACATACTGAGCTCCAAGCAGAAGCTCTCAATACTTGGGAAAATCTTTGTAAAAAAGCCAAGTAAAAAGGACAAGGCATAAAGAAATAAGGGGAATTATCAGCTGAAGACTTCTAAACCGAAGCTCTGTACTTAGCTAAATTTTGAAAAAATTCAAGAAAAAGCAATCAAGTTCAAAGCTAGAAAAGCAGGCGAAAGAAGAAGAAACAGCTGAAATCTTAATTCATCTGACCAGAAGAACTAAAGAGTTACAAAAATCAAGTTCGGAATTCAGAATGTTAAGCAGAAATTCAAAGTCGGCAGCCGCCCACATAGCGGAAAACACAGCTGCCGAAAGTACACAAAAACAAATTATAAGTTTGTACAAGGCAGGCTGAAACAAAAGAGAACATGCAAAAGCTGATACGACGTCTTCAAATTAAATGCATGTTGATCCGCAGGACTCAGTAGACGACTGCCCGAATTCCTATGCTTCAGCATTTTTAGGAACATCATTCGGGGCAGCTAGAGCCCCAGCATCGACTGAAGAGGAAGCAGGATGGGTAGCGTTCAACTCTATCTCAGCTACTCTCTCCCTTTCTTCGCGCTCAGCTTGCCGAGCTAGGAACGCCACTTCAGCTGGACTGGCCTCATGCATATGAGCATCTGCTGGATCCATGGACCAGGCCTCAACCTGATCCCAGTTGATGCTGGGCTCAAGATGGAAGGCCAGTCACCGAGCGACCTTCCAGCCATTCTCATATCGTTCCTCGTACTCGGCCTCGGTGTATATCCTGGTCTTTAGCAGTTCATTAGCAGCAGCGAGGTCAGATGAGGCCTTGGAGGATACATTCTTCTCAGCCTCCAGCGCAGTCTGCAGCCGCTGAACCTGGGCCTCGAGTTTAGTCTGCTTGTCCTTAGCGTGAGTGCGGAGAAGGTCCATCTGGCTGGTATGGTCTGCAATCAGTTTATCCCGCTTCTCAGCTTCTGCCTTATCTCTGCTCTCGATATGAGCTTTGAATTCAGCAAGGGTGTCAGCTCCATATCCTTTCAGCAGAGAATGACCCTCTTCGATCCAGGGAAAAATGGTCTGCTCCAAGCCCCGGCAGAAGAAGCGGAAGTTCTCATTCATCTGCTGCATTTCCAGCTTAGTGGCTGAAGCCTCATCTTCAGCTTTCTGCTGCTTCAACTCAGCTAGCCGAGCCAAGTTTTCAGCCTCTTCTACCTTGTCAACCTTGGACTGCAGCTCCTCATTCATTTCTACAACTAAGAAATGATTATGGACAACCTGCAAAATCGGAGGTCAGCCGAGGCCTGATACTAAGAAAAATTTTCTTAAAAAGAAAAAAAAAAGAAAAGGGAGAAGAAGAAGAAGAAGAGAGAAAATGTGAGGACAGCGCTCACCTGCATCAATAGGCGTTGGTTCTCCACAAAAGGATTGGGCACCTTATCGAGAGGCTCAGCAGCTCCAGCAGCAGCGCCTGCAATCCAGGCCTTAGCCTTCTCCAGCGCTGATAAGTTGGCCAGATGGCCGAAGTGAGCACTAGCAGTCTCGTGCTTTAGTTCAAAAAGGGCTCGGCATGCTCGGGAACAGGGACCAACGACGCTAAGCCGAAGCCCATGTCAGAAGACTGAAAGCTCCTGAAGGAATTCGCAGCCGAAATAGAGGGCATTTCTTCATTTTTTGGCTCTTCGGATCCAACCATATGCGGTTTGACATGAACCGCAGCAGCACCCTCGGCAGGAATATTCAACGCGCCCATCTCTTGCTGAATATTCTCTGAGAACATCCCAGAATCACGAGGAGGAGTTGGAGGGGAAGTCTGCAGATCGACAACCTCCACTAATATCTCCCAAGATGGAGAGGTGACTTCCCTCATCTCTCCTTCTTCAGCTCGAACCTCCTCGTGCCGAGGCTTCTTAACAGGCGGCTCCGGCGCCTTAAATTGTCTAGGACGGACAAGGATTCTTCTACCACCAGCCATATCTTCGGCAGTGGGTTCGGAAGAAGGATCAGCTTTTTCTTTCTCTACTTCTTCCCCTTCGGACTGCAGAAGAAAAGAAAGAGGGGGCAGGAAGACGAGTAAGAAGGAAAAAAAAAAAACAAACAACAGCAAGTAAACTCAAGGCAGAAGCACGCAGATATTTCAGCCGAAGCCGCATACTTAACAGTTTTGGCAAAACAAATTGCATCAGACAAATATGCATCCGAAGATCTACACTTAGCAAAATATTCATACAAATTCAAGAAAGGCTACGTGTAACATGCATACTTAAGAGCTGAAGCTACATATCTACATACTCAGAAAAATACTTTGCAAGCTGAAAAATCAAAGTGCTGAAGTTCTAGACTTAGAGAAATTTCATGGAAATTCAAACATGAAAAAAGACTGCAGAAGGATAGCAAACTTATTGAAGGGCCGAACAACTGTTCGGTATTCTCCTCTTCGGAATCCTCCTCGTTCTCTGGGGCAACGGACGAAGCTGGAGGGGCAATCCCGCTGCGAGGAGTAGCAGCAGCGATAGTCGCAGCAACCTGCTCTTCGGCTGAATGCAGGAAGAAAGGATCAACCTTCTTGTACCAATCTTTCTGCGCCAGATATTCGAAGGCGCTTACAACTTCGAACCTTTTTTGTTGAAGGGCAAGAGCTCGGTTCTTAGGTTCAGTGATAGGAGGGGAGTTGGTAAGAGGCTCTCTCTCTTCGCTGATCCTAAGCACCTCGTAATTGATGCCCGAATTCTCCTCGCAGATTTCTGCAGCAAGACAAAAATAAAACAGAGTTATTTCAGCGAGCATTGGCTGAAGCAGATAAATTACAGAAAAAGGTGAAAGAAAATTAGTCTCGGCCTCATCCAAGTCACTTACCACCTTGGTATCTTCGGCTGAGGCTGACAACAGCCAACATCTTCTCCTGAAAGATGTAATGGCAGTAGGGAAGCCATATTCTCGGCATGTTAGCCATTCGGCCTGTAGTTCCAGCAACAGCAGTTTGGCCAAACATATCCATCTGTTGCTGATCAGCCTCAGTGAACTCATCAAGGCCAATGCTAGACATTGAAGGGTCAGGCTTCCTCGTATAGCGGGGACACCCGAAGAAATTAGGGTGTCCTTCATCCGAAGGAGCCCGCACCCAAATCCACTGGCCTCGCCAGTCCTTATCCGAGGTGTCGTTCGGATACGAGGTCAGATAGCCCTTTTCATTCTCTATCTGCCACCAGCCTCGGCCGTGCCATTTGTTAGATTGGGCGTTCGGCGCGAGCCTGTGAATGCACCTAAAGCAATGTATGCTCGGCTCGAAGCCATAGAACAAGGAGACCCACAAATAAGTCATCACTCTTCGGATACTGACAGGCGTGAGATGCGCCAAAGAAATATTGTATCCGTTCAGCACCTTGATGATGAAAGAGTGGCAAAGGAAACCTCATCTCATATTGCAGCTGCCTAGTGTAGACCCCAATATATCCAGGAGGCGGCCGAGAGATGCTTTCTTCGGCAGTGGGCATTCGACACCAATACCCATCTTCTTCTTTGATGCCGTAATACACCTCCAACTGCTTGGCGAAGCAGTAGCGGCCATCATTTTCAATCCACCAGGCATAGGGCTTGGCATTCACAAGACCCTCGGTCTCATATGCATCGGTCCATTCCCGTTCCTCGGGAGTCAAGGGCCTCGACGCCGAAGGCTCTCTTTGGCCTGATGTACTAGCTTCAGCTGAGCCAGATGGTGGAACGCTGGACAGCGGCACAGCTCTCAGACCCTCGCTGCTTAAAGCTGCGGCAGCCCCAGAACTCGCATTAGGGTTCTGGCCGCTCAGTAATGGCATCATGGCCAAAGGGCGGTTCCGCTTCAGCACTAGCTGAGGCGTCTCCTCCTCGCCCTCAAATTCGGGCTCTCGTTGAACTGGCCTTTTACTTCAGCTTCTAGCCATGGTCTAAAGGAGAAACCGGAAAATGCGAAAAAAGGGAGAAATCTTAAAAAAGGGGAAAATCTGAATGAAATTCGGGGAAAATTACCTCTATTTGACTCGGAATTCGCCGATCTAGCAGTTCGGAGCAACGAATTGCGCGGGAAAGCTTCGGAAAGTACAGAAATTAGTGAAAAAAGGGAAGTGGTGTTTGCGCGAGTTCGCTGGGAAGTGAGAACAAGTTGTGAAAGTGGTTTAATTTGAGAATGCCGGAAATGAAAATGCAAAGGCAAGTTAAATATCATGCAACAAACCCACTAACTTGATTTTAATTCACGAACTCTTCAAATTCTTCCCAAACCAATTGCAAACCGCCAAAATTAATTATCCACTAAGTTTACTCCACTTCCCCACTATCATTAGTTAACCGTCATTAAGGTTAATTAATCATCATTAACGGTTATTAAAACTGTACAAATTCTCAAAAGCATTTAAATTATTTTCATTTATTTCCCTCCAAATCCTTCAGCTGCTGAAACCCGACCCGTTATCCTCACGAATCGGGTCTGGGGGCAAGTTGTTTAGGGTCCAAATAACTTTTATTTGGGCCCGGTCCACAATGAAAATAATTAAAGCCCAAAAGGCAAGGTTCAACCCTCATTGCAAATTAGCCAAGTCAGGTATAGCAAGGCCCAATCAAATGGCAGCCCATTTGATTCCTCAAGCCCAATCCATCTAATTGGAGCAAGGTATAAAAGCTTTCATTTTTGCACAATCACATTCATTCACATTAAATGCCTCAAGCAACAAACTCTCTTGCATAGCTTTTCTCTCATTATCTTGCATCCGTACTGACTTCGGCATCGGAGGGGCCTTCCTCGGCACAACCCCCGAGGCCAGTTTACGTGTGTTTAGCTGTGCAGGAAATCCTCAATTCGGTCATCACTCGAATTGGGCTTCATCTCCACTCATCCGAAGGGCCTGCTGAAGGTCCATTGTTTTCTAACCGAAACAGGTGTCATACCAACAAATGTCATTTGAATGAAGCTGATAAGTTGGTACGTGCTTTGCACATTAAATAGTTTTCTAAACTCACCGTAAAAGATAAACTGGACTCCTTATAAGTTAAATGTATAAACGGGAAGAATTTAGTACAGAGAGGGTAATAAATCCTTATCATATTTTTTCTTTTTACATTAGGGTTTGTTTGGCTCATTTTATTTTGATATATTTCAAGCAAAATATGCACTAATAACTCACAACACAAAATAAGTTCAGGAAAAAAAAAAAAAGTTATTTGCAAACCAATTCAAACATAATCAAACACAATTTCAGAGATAATAACTTTTTTTTTTTTTGGAATAACATAATAACTTTTCTAGACAAAATCAAACAAGCCTGACTTAGTCAAGAGCTTTAAAACAAAATAAATTGAACCGAACAAAAACTTAGGGTTTATATAATTTATTTCACCTGACTTAGTCTTATATAAAAGAAAATAATTTTTATAAGTTCTGACAGTGGTTGTTTGGATCATGTAATTGTGGGAGAAGATACAACATAGCGATTTTCTTAAACGAAATCCTGTGAGTTATTGAAAGGAATAGTACATATATAAATGTCCAAATAATAATAGATTTGATATACTAGTAAAAATTTGAACACAGAGCTCTAATTGAGCGAAATGGATTAAATGAATTAAAGGATCCACTTGAGAACTTGATTCTTCATAGAGATGTTGACGATCTAGCGTGGGAAAAATACAAAAATGAGCAACTCAGTTGCAAATTGCATTGTTGTCAAGAGCTTAAGTTCACCCGATTAACCTGAAATTGTAATGCGCGTTTGAATCAGCTCAGAGAAATTGATAAGGCATGGACGCTTCAATGAATAGACGCTATCTATGTTCCTGTTATGACCAAAAAAAGATATATAAGCAATGCAACTGAATCATTTGTAAGGAAATTACACTCCCACTAAAAACCTGAGCTATGTAAAATAAAGATCAGTCATTTTTCTTATTTCCTCCCTAAATGATCATCTCTATACATAGCCTTCTAACATTTTTTCCCTCTAACAAACTATCTGCCCACTCATCAAGATAACTCTAATGGATTAATTTGCATCATCAAAAGTGCCCCTTTCCCCTAGGTTGGTCTATAACGAAAGCGTTATTGCAAATGAAATACTTGCAGCCTAATGGGACTATAAATTTAAAATTGCAGTGCTTGAAGACTATAGTCTATACAGGATTTAATTTCCCTATCCTTGCAAATCCAATAGATAGCTCTGTAAACCTAAATAAATAGATAGCTCATATTAGCATATATCGGCTTAGGAAACAAACACAAAAGCATACCTTTTAAGAGTTAAAATTAGACACAGGAACTAAGTAATTTAGTATAATGAATCCATATCCCTGGGTATTTTAGATATATGAACAAAATCTAAAGCTACAAATTCAAATGAAGGAGCAAAAAACCCATCCAAAGACAGACCCAAGTGCAGAAACGAAAGGTCACCTTATTGTGTAATCCTCAAAGGTGTACAAAGTACTCCACAGCTTCTGCCATAGCTTACTCTGTCATCCTTCAGGCTCCAAAGCTCAGGGGGTAAAACTCCTTTAGCTCATGGAAAACTGCCCCAGATTGGTACTTGAAATCATGCAGAGATTCATTGAGAGCTTTTCAATAAGCATTGTGGATGCCATCCTGATAATCAAAGCATAGTATAACAAAGTTTCACTTAATGAGAAGAAATTTCACATGGGTTATCTACACAAGAGTGACCCCAGAAGAATGACATGAACAAAATTGCAAGTAACACTCAAAAAAGTCAAAACACAGAGGACCACCAAGAATTGAAGAATAGAGTTGATAACAATACCTAGAATCAGTCTATAGGTAAAGTAACAAATAAGACAGAATTTGGACACCTAAGTTTGAAATTCATAATCACATTCACAAATGTAAAAGTAATTGAACACCATAGATTGTCTACTTATAGAAGCATAGATGAGTTGCTAGATAACATGTAGCTGTCTAGTATTCATAGGAAAGCGGCTGGAAAACAATAAAATATTGATCGTTCTACCAACTAAAAGCATTAGTCTCTGATCCAATAACAAGGGGAGATGGGGGGGGGGATATTTATATCATACTCCTTACTTTAAATATAATCTCTCCTGACTGCATTTGTTTGCCTCTTCATTTAAAATTTACATTTGTGATCCCATGTACTTTCATAGTCTCTGAAAAGTACTTCCCATTGACCTTGTTGAAAAAATATATGTGCAAAAGCAACGAAAAACAAGAAATTAATAAACAAGCAATAATGCCAAACCTATACGAGCCAGATTTAACAGAAGGTTTCTTACACAAATTTCAGACTTAAACTATGCAATTCATGCCTATTAAGGTATTAAGTATAATTTTGCTCAACACCTATTTACACCAATTTTAAAATTTCATTGAAAAAGAAGGAAGAAAAATTAAGATTTCTTTATATAAGTGGTGGCAAAAATATCAAAACTTTGTCTTCTTGAATTGAATATATCAAATTATCAATATATCATTAATCACGACAAGGGAGAAAGCTAATTAACTATAATTTTAGATTATAAAGAGGATTTGCCGCATTCTTAAAGCATGGGGTTCTGGTTTAATATGTAGACATTGTGGTTTCATAATAGTTTCAAAAGGCATATCCCCAACTTCTTTCTGAATTCCATGCTAGAGCTTGAACCTAAGTGCATTTAAAATATAAAATTATAAAGTACTATGTACTTGTAATTTTTGCAATAACCAAGATTTTTGACAGAAACTACACTTAACCTACTTCTACTGAAAGTTAATTAGCTAGCTGTAGCATTCCCTTCAAACATATTATGACCAAATTCCTGCTGCTATTGATTTTCCATCATACATTTGTGAGTTTCATTTTCATTATGAAACATATGGCTTAGAACGAAGACAAGATATTCCTTACGTCTGTCGTAGAAGTTCACCGTTTGATCCTCCAATTGCCACAACTTCCCATGTCAACACGAAGTTATAGCTACCGTCATTCTTGAAGCAAACCAAATAGATTCATTATACTGACATATGCATGCGTCACTCTTCAGGTCTGCATAGATAGATTATAGCAATTTGCTAGGAATTAGATTGGTTTCTAACACGATTACAGCTCTGACAACGACAGAAATTAGAGAAGAAAATGCTGATGATATGTAATCAGCAAAATAAGTTAAAAATAGCATTTCAGATTGATTTTGCCAATTAATGAAAATATCTATCTATACTAGATATTAAAAGGCGTTATTCGAACCCGCAACCTCCAACAAATAAAGGTTACACACATACCATCTCAACCAAATTTTATTAGTATTTTAAATTTTACATAATTAACATTATATATTCCTTTCAAATTAGAGGTTATTTAATTTATTTATTATTCACAAGAACGCCCGGATCACTCACTAACATACAAACAGTTGAACATAATTATTAAATTAAAGAAGTACAAACTAGCAATGAAGTACAAACTAGCAATCCGGGGCATCGCCCAGAACACACACTAATTTGCAATTAAAACATTGCTAGCATTTGATTCAAATAAAGGAGCAATGAACAGCCATGTTAATTTTCCCACCAAACAAAATCATAAAACATGAATCCACATAACAGAGTTGATCATTCCCACAAAAATAAATTAATCAGGACAATTGCTTAACAAATTCTTATCCCCAAAATGGCATAATGTCGGGAATTCAGGACAAAACCACACATCGTTTATTACAATATTAAATGTTTCATATATCCACTTTTTTGCACTCAATTATATCCGAGTGATTCAACTTTACCCTAACAACTTCAAAATACTATGAGATTTTCAAATTGATAAGGAAAAAGTAATCGAAATGCACAAATTACCAGAATGAATGGATCAAACTCATTACAAACGCATCAAATATAGCAAGAAAAGCTAAAGATGAACATAAATTTAGAATCAATTATAAAATTACAAAAGATAGAAGATGAATGGCCTTACCCGATACCACTCCCAAACCCGATAATCCGACCCATTTTCCTCATGAATAAAACACAAACATGGTGCTCTTGCTCACAATGGGTTTGCCGCGAGGAATCAACGGCTATTGTTGACAAAATTAACTGAAGAAAGCAATGGAGAAAAAGAAAAGCATGGAGAAAGGAGAATGAAAGCAGTAGTGGCACTCTTCCTAAACAGCTGCCATTTGCAAGGGCATAACTGGAAAAGCACGTAGATATAGAAGAAGGTCGTGGGGTGAAAGTTATTCGGATCGGATTTGACTCGAATATTACCACCTAGAGTCCATCAAACATCGGATTTATGGATTGGATTTTACCAAGTACTCGTATTTAAGAAGACCTTGACCTTATCTAAACCTTTACAATTTCTTTGGTTCGATATTTCCGGGTTATAAGTCATAACACTTTACAATTTCTTTGGTTCGATATTTCCGGGTTATAAGTCATAACACTTTACAATTTCTTTGGTTCGATATTTCCGGGTTATAAGTCATAACACTTTAAAAATGAGGGGAAGGGTAAAGGATCTCACGCTATTGAACTCCTAATCTCAAGGTTGGAAGTTATAATCCATACCAAACTTCGTTAATTTATGGATTGGATTGGTTTATGAGTTTTTATAGATATATTCTAAAAACAAAAAGATATTATGGTGACAATGAGTAAAAGCCAGATAATTTGATATTATGAAAATATTAAATAAGACGATTTTAAAAAGATTCTGCATAATATGTATGTTTTATCATAATTATAAATAAAAACAAAAAGATATTATGGTGACAATGAGTATAATTTGATATTATAAATATTAAATAAAAAATGCTAACACCTTTGGCAATATACACATTTCAAATTTGATAAAGACAAAGTTCACGAGTTAATACCAATAATAACTCTACATTCCCTTTTAAAATCAAACTAATAAGGATAATCACATAATACACTCCATGCTCAACAAGACCATTGACCAAGATTATAGAAAAAAAAAATTAGCAAGAAGACTATCATGAGATAATTAAAACAATTAGCATCTGGATCACTAAGAATAAATTAGAGAGTTGACGATCATACACATTTTAATTTTTTTTGACAATATTCACAATGTAACTTTGACAAGCCTTTTGTGATTTATAAATAAGAAATAACATAGTCATGTGGGATCTTGTTACAGTCCTCTTAATGTGTACTTTCAAATATCAATTTTATTTTATTTTTTTTATTTATTTTTTTTATTTTTTTTTGGATATTCCAATACAAAGCCACATGCATAGTAAACAAGGCATAATAAAATTTAAGTAATCATATCAAATACATAGGCAGGTCAGAATATTAGGATGAAATTGGAAACGAGTAAAACAAAAATAAAGTTTACCTCAACACAATTACTCAAGTAGTAGTACTACGATAAACAATTCAATGACAACTTACGGTGAACTACTATTATTTATGCATCATATATATATAATCCATCAAAACATATTGTATCCAAATATATGATTACACCTTAATGAAAATAAATAAATAAAATTAAATGGTTTCTTTAAGTTGAGGAACTCAATTATGGAGTATATATCACCAGGAACAATAACAATCGGATGAAATCAACGAAATATGCGGCAATAATATTTATAATTAAAGCTTTAAAATTCATAATTTAATTATGAGAAAGAGAAAAAGGAATATAGGTACCGTTTCTGGTAGAGAAAATCGTAAAGTTGCTAATCTTAATATAACTGAATTCCTTCATACTTATTACTCGGCGATGGTGCTGATAGCGTGTTAAATATGGAAGAGAAATAAAGAGAGATATGAGAGAAATTGAGGAGAAAATAAATCAGTCTATATTATTCCATAGGGTGGGAATATATATACATACAATATAACTAGGGTTTGCTTAGCTAACAATAAACCCTAGATCTTGAACATTCCGAAACGATAAAGGAGGATAATGGATATCCACAAAATATAATATTTCGCAATTTAAATTTGTCATTTACGCGATGAATATTTAATTAAATTATACAATAATAATGGAACCCATCAAATTGGTTTGAATGTTGTTCCCTTTAAATTGTCATGTCAATATTCTACGCAAATTGCCCCAGATGATATGCTAGAGCCTAATAAGAGTATGTAGCATTTCCAATGATTTATAACCACGTAATTGCACTATAAATAAAATGCCTAGCTACATGCTTATCAATGATTAACAAAAAAAAATTGAGCAACTTACAAGCCGCGTGCTATAGCGCAAACAAGCTACATGCTTGATTGAAAAAGAGAATAGCGCAAACAAGCTACAACTAATTTATTTTATTTTATTTATTTATTTTCTTTTTTTACAAATTACAAGATGTTGTAACTCACCATTGGAACACTTTGTAGTTAGGGGTGTAACTGAACTGAGCCGACCAATAAACTACTCGGTTGAAACTCGTTCATGTTTGTTTATTTTATAAATGATCTGAGTCGAATTTGAACAAATTTTAAAGCTCGCTTAATAAATGAGCTTAAACATGAACATAGATATACCCATTCATGAACTACGTGACTCGTTTACTTATGTTCATGAGTTGCTCGTTTGATGTGATAAGACGTGATATCTCAAAGACGCAAAGTGCTTTTATGTGAAATGTAACTATGATATAAATTGATCATTTTAAAACTTTTTTTTTTAATAAATTATTGACTTTTTTTTTAAGGAAATATCAATACATTAATAAGAAGTCATACGGCATTTACAAAAAAGATCAGAAACGGTAAATACAATGAAAATTGAATCAAATAACAATTCTAATTTTGTAGAACTACAATCTAGATTTTATAATTATGTTTTAATTTAATTATTATGTTAATTTTGAGATTTTCAAATGTCAAAAATACAAAGCTCATTGTAGCTTGTTTATAATTATGTAGCTTGTTTATAATTAAGCTCGTGAAAAACACTCATTTAATAAAGGAGTCATTTTACGAACCGTTGTGAACACTACAATATATTAAATAATGAACCGAAATGAACAAATTTTAGTGCTAGCTTGAAAGCTCAAGATCGTGCTCGGCTACACGCACACTAGTTAATAATTAAATTTGGGAGAGAAGTATATGATAGTTTAAATTGAAAGTAAGTAATTGAAAGTAAGCACAGCACACTCAATTGATCGCCCTAATATCAATTTCTCTGTGATTGTCTATCTCTGTTTTTCCTCTTTCGAATATCGATAAGGGAAGATTCTCTCTAATTTTCACCTGCGCATTTTCAAGAATTTGGCGCAATTATTCGCTGAAGCTGCTCATCACTCATTCGCTCGAGTTTCAAGATCATCGTCGTCATCAAGAATTCTATTGGTAAGCACAGCAAAACTCAATTGTTGCCATCTTCATTCAATTTCTCTGTAATTTTCTATCTCTGTTTTTCCTCTTTCTAAAATTTTCAAGAGAAGCTTCTTTCTAATTTTCAATTTGGCGCAATTAACACAGTACATTCGCTGAAGCTACGCATCACGCGTTCGCTTGAGTTCAAGATCATCGTCGTCATTACTCGTTCGCTCGAGTTTCAAGATCATCGTCATCATCGCGAATTCTACTGGTAAGCAAGCACATTTCATTTTATTTTTTTTTGCCATCTTCATCTCTAATTTACGAATTTTTGATTTGTTTTGTGATTTTAAGTTATTAAATCAATCTCATATTTCTCTGACATTATTATAGTGTTTATCCCTCAGCAACATAGATTGGAGTTCATCTTCAAAAATTCTGGAAAATCCTCCCAAAAAATAAATCAAAATGCAGCAGGTATGTAATTCTTGTGTTGTTGAAGAAGAATATGTAGTAATTGTGAACTTTTGAATTGTTAATTTTACAATTAATTGGCTGATTGCATTCGGTAGCATGTTTTTGGTGTTTCAAAAGCGGTTGAATCGTTGATAGTTATTAATGTTATCTGTAGCGGTAAAATTGTAACTTTTTAAGTATGATTTTGTTAAATTTTGTGTGAAGTTGCTAAATTCTAGTAATAATTAAAGTACTAAGGCTCTGTTCACATTTACTGCACTGAGTTGAACTGAACTAAATTAAACTGAATTGATTGGAGCTGAATAGTATGACTTATATCTAAGTACCCAACCAAGTAACCAACTGAGCTATTTTAGGTATTTGTGAGTAAAGTAGTATAGTTTCTATAAGACCTACGTACATGATATTGTGTCGGGCTTGTACTTTACAATGGTTACTAATTTAAATTCTATTTTTCAATTTAAAAAAGCGATTTAGTGTTCATTTGTTAGCTGTTTTTTTTTTCAACAGACATTTGTTTGCTATTTGAAATGAGAAAAATAATGGAATTAAAATGTAGAAACTTTATTAGTGGTGTTAGTGTTTTACTTTTTTTTTTGTTTGATAATGTTAGGGTTGGTGAATGCACAGCGGAAGCGAAGATGTGTTTAATTGAGAAGTATAAATTGAATTGATAATTTGACAAGATAATTAATATAAATGAACACACGATTTTATGTAACAACGAGCACTTTTATTCCACTATTTGAAAATAGGAGAGTAAAAGAACCCTTGAGGGTGATTATTACAAGAGAACTCTCACTATAAGAAACTCACAAGGAGTATTATGATAGTGGAATGAGGATATTTTTGTAGAAAGACTTGTGTTTGGTATGGCTTCTTGTGTTGTGTTTTTGTGTTGTGTTGTTGTGCGATTGAATGCCCTTGACCTATATTTATAGGTGTAGATGGAGCTTGGAAGATTTGTGTGGAAACTTCCACATATATATAGATATTTTTAAACTCTCCACATAAATCTAGCATTTTCATTGGCATTTAATAATTCTAGATTTTTCCTCAATTCTCCATCCTTCTTGTGTCCATAATATTCTAGAAAATTCAAGTAGGATATTATTTTGGAAGCCTCTAGAATATGGATAATACTTCGACCAAAATAATGGGCTTATAAAATTTGGGTCATACCCAACAGATAACAATTAGTGTGTTACTTGCTTCGTACTAATTAATAATTTTATGGAATGTAATGAGAAAATTAATTTACTTTAGGTTGGAAGATTAGGGCAAAGGATAGATTGTAGGTCTTGATCAGTATATATATAGAATAAGTACACCATCATATAACAAATTTTTGTGAATCAAAGAATACAAAACCGGTTATGATCATATATCACATATAAGTAAAGTTGTGGAATGTAATGCGTTAAAATAATTATACCAGAAGACGATTTTTTTTGCTGATTCTGAGATTGAAAACAGATCGAAATCAA